GATTATGCGATATTCACAGCAGCTAGATAAGAAGTATAGACAAATAGCAACTTGCTTTTCCACTGATATTGGTTCTCAGGTTCCTATCTGATTTAAATTTGGAGCAAGTTTTTCTCGTAAATGATCACATAACCATAGAAAAGTTGTTTTTGTCATTCGAAATGTTTTTAACTAGTCTTTCTTTTTAAAGTGATCGTTAACAATTCGATCACACCAATCAGTACTTCGTTTTTTCATTCGAATTTTCCTTTCTCGTGAAAATTGTAATATAGATTCGAGATCAAGCAAATAATTTGGTAATGTTGAATTTAATAAGTGTTGTGATATAATTTCTTTCAGATGTCTTTGTCGTTTAATTAAAATATTTCGGATGTATACATTGCATAATCATGTTTTCTATAATTTTCAAGTATACGGCAACAAAACATGTGAGCAATTTCAATGTCCTTTTCCATATTCTTTCCGCTTCAAAATTGAAATAATCTAAAATTTTAATTTCACGTGTTAATTATATATTACATTTTAGTTGAATAAATAAGTATCTAATAATTTCAAAATTTATAATGTATTCTACCTAAAAATTCACTTTGTTTGTTGACTCATTTACACATCACTTGACTTCTTTCACATCACAATCCTACCATAAATAAACATCTAATTTTTCGTCATTTTATTTTGATACTACTAGAAATCTTGGACTCATTTTATTCAAAAGTTACTAAGTTATTTTAGCTTGGTGGGGATAGGATAAGCTTGAACGTATAAACGCAACTCACTTTAAATAGGATAAGCTTGAACGTATAAACGCAACTCACGTTACAAATTCAGCGTTATAAATCGAAGTTAGAAGCTGTGTAAACGTAGTCTATGATGCTAATAAATATACTTTAATTTATATTGAATCTTATCGTAATAATTGTACAAGTTGGCTTTTTTTATTTTGAATTATAATAATTAATAATATCGTAAGATAATATAATATAATAATATAATAATAATATGATAATATGATAATTTCAATAGAAAGGTTTATTTATGAAATTTTCTAGTTTATAAATTATTTTAACCAAATATTTATTTATCCGAAAATTTATAAAATACAAGTTTTTTAATTACAATATTTTTATTTTTTTATTTTATATTCTTTCAAATATTCAATTTCAATTTTAATTTTTAAATTAATTTTTTAATTTAAACATAAGTAGCTTATTATTAATTTAAGAAATTGCATAATTGAGACAATTAAATAAAAAATTCACAGCATTATTAATAAGATAGTCATTAATGTTTTCATAATTGAACTTCTTAAAATTTAACTTCCATTTGAAAATTGGGGTTAGGGAAATAATTTCACTGATATTGGGAAATATTCAAATCGCTGAATATATATGTCATAATAATCGTAACACATAAAATCTCTAATATTGAAAATCCTGAAATATTGTAAGGAAACATGATTTAATGTATAATTGTTTACATTAACAATGTTATTATACCGATAAAAATTAAGTTCATTAAAATAATGCAAGATCACATTTGCTTGTTCATTCATATGGCAGTAATGACAAGTATTACAGATAATGATAATTATTACGCCAATACGTGTAAAGCAAATTGTAATTTTCGATTATTAATTTTAAGAATTCCGAAATCGGAAGGCGATTGTCAATAACTACGTGTTTATGATTTAGTCGTATGGCAAAAAGTTATTTAACGAATGTTACAGTTACATTCAAAGCGCGATAAAATAAATTATTATAAATTGCTATATCGTGTCCATGTAATAATCATTATTTACAATGTTTCTATCCAATATAATGTAATTATCGAAACCTAGCTCTGTAATGCTTTGTTTAACAATGTTTCAACTAATTTAATGATCTATTTAAAACTATTTAGAGATCAAACATAAATTTACAGCGCAATAATTTAGAACTTAATACATCCACATTCTGATAATACATTAAAAGAAAGCGATTCAGTTTTTAGCCTAGATCAAAATTGATCTCAACAATTTTGGATGTTTCTGTAACGATCAGTCTTGTTTGGCCAAAAAATTTTTACGCGTAACTTTAATAAATCCAATCCTTATACGTAATTTTGTGATGATGAAACGATTCGTGATATGATGTTCAATTATGTTCATTCACTACATTTTTAGTCTTTAACGTTTATCTCCAGATAATTTTCTTAAATTTTGTCAGTTTTACAAATATTTTGTTTGATTGTGAATAAGAATATTAATATAATAATAACATTATAAATTTTAATATTACTACAATAAATCTCTCTCTCTCTTGACTTATAAATATTAATTACTAAATTTAGTGTATTGACTTTATTAACATGCAAACAATTTTTAATCGTGTTCCTTATATTTATAACTTCATATTTTATTTGTTGATTTATTATACATACTCTATCTATAAAAAAATGATAATTTTAATTCTATAAATGGAAACAAATAGCGACAAATTAATACATTTATTTATTTCACACACAAATACTAGCATTTGATAAAACATATCTGCATAATGCAAATAGAAACTTTTAAGCTATGTTTATTGAATAATTACGTGTCTATAAAATAAAAATTGACTACAAAAATAAAAAGATAAGCGATTTATATATTTATTTTTATTACAAAATTATATTTATCGTAATTACATTAAGAAAATATTACATCATTAATGCATTATAATATAAAAAAGGAATTTATTTAGTATTTTATTTAATATTTTATTAGTATAGATTTAATTAATAAAATAAATAATAATATGTAAATGCGCAAAATCTATATTTATAAAATTTATATAAAAGATTTATATGAAAGATTTTTTTTGTGTCCATCATCAATGAAATTTTATAAATTATTCTTATGTAAGATGAATCGCATTGATATTTCAAAGAATATGAAATTAGCACAATTTGCCCTTATTAATAACTTTATAATTTATACTAGACACTCTCTAATAAGTTACTGGCCATCGGAGAGCCACTTTTTATTGGTCCGCCATTTTTAGGCAACTCCCGCTCATATTCAAATTGTAATTATTATGATAATGAATATTGTATATATATATATATATATATATATATACATATATATATATATATATATATAAAATATATATAATATTGTATATATATAATATTGAAAAATTATTTTCACATATATTATTTAGGAAAATTTTATTTTTATAGTAATTGTAGTTTTATAGTAATTTTTGTATTTTTTTTATTTTTATAGTAATATAAATATAGAAATGAAACTAATTTAAAAAATTTTTTTAAATAATATATGTCAAAATAATTTTTCATACTATTTTATATTTTTCATATTATTGACGAATTGTTACAAAGTTCTGCTGTACACCATACTAATAGACACATCTGCAGAAACATACATTCGCGTAGATGTAAGTAAAATTTTAGAGTCTTTGCATAGATCTATCTCTCTCGCAGGATTTTGCATAAACATAGACGAAACATATGTGTCTCAATGTGCTCACTCTATCTGATAACTAGTTTCTTATTAGAGCGCGTCTAATTTATACTATATAATATATATAATATTATATATTATATTATATATTATTATTATATTTTATTATTATATCTATCTCTATTATTATGTCTTTATAATATATTATAATATAATATATTATATTGTATAACTTGTATATAATGTAATATTATATAATATTATATCTTTGTAATATATATTATATATATTTTTGTAATATATATTATATATAATATGTACAAATAATGTACATTATTTGAGCTACATTATAATCTTTATGTGTATTTTAATTTTGATTAATTGTGATGTAATCTTTTTATCCAAGAACAAGAAGTAATTTTGGTAAATGTTTACTTTACGTTACACAGCACGAAAAAATTTCATTTTCAAATATGTTGTAGAGGATACATTTCTAAGTAATACACCGTTTAAATTTTGCAACGGTCTCTTTTCGTTTCTGCGATATGCACTTTCGAAGTTTTATACTTTTATGTCATTTCATTGTATTTATTTGTATACATTTGTTGGTCACGGTTTTATGTATTTGTATATAACTTCTTTCGTTTTGCAAAATACATATGTGAGTTCCGCTTTCCTTCGAGGGAGAACTTCTTCGGAAAATATAACCTAACCCAATCCGTGTCTGAAGTGTGAAATATACCTGGAATAGAAAGTTACAAACTTATATAAATTCATGATATGAAGTAAAATATGTCATATGTCAAGATATTTCTCACACTTCAGACACATTGGGTTTGATTATATCTTCCGGAAGTGGAGTTTCTTCCATTGTACAGATGTCCACGCATGTACTTTATAAGACAAAGCAAAGCTTACAGATACATATATTCTATTGAATATATTTCTTTTTAAACATACATGATATAAAATTATATTCTACTCACGAAACTTTTTTCGTCAATAACTATTTAATAAATAACAAACGGCTAAAAACTCTTTTAGTCAGAAAGATGACCTTAGTAAATATGAAAAATATAAACGTATTTAAAATATAACGAAAAGATAATAGAAAGTATAAAATTTCAAAATCGCATATCTCAGGAACGAAGAGAGACCGCCGCAAAATTCAGACGGTGTATTACTTAGAAATGGATCCTTTACAACATATGTGAAAATAAACATTTTTCGAGTGTATCCTAATGTAAACATTTATCACAATTTTGTCAATTAAATTTACATGTTTTGTCAATTAAATTTACACGTATTTTTAATAAGTTTCTTAATATATCGTCAAAAATGAAAAATATCTTATAAAAGCGGTTTTTCTATATCTTTTTTTTGTTTTCTTCTAGCAATAGCATTATATTTTACAAATGTAGAATAATGAAATTTTCATTCGTCTTACTTTCTTAAATGTTATAATAATCGCAATATTGCTTACAAATGCACAAGAAAATTAAATTTTAATCTCTTAATTATTTTTAATAACATAGCGTTTATTTCCATTCATATTTGCCTCTGGCCCATTGACGAATAAATTGATATGTACTCTATATAGATAAAAAATAAAAAAATCAATTTATTTTTCGTTATATATATAGTATAATATACGCTGCTTTATATTTTTATTAAAATAATTTAGTATTTCTACAAATATTTAATTTAAATTAGAATAATGTTTGTTTAATAAATAAAATTGTTTTGCCATTGCATACAAAATATCTCAATTATCCTTAGTCTAAAGATTCTGTTTTAGTCTAGTTTTGGTATAAATTATTTTAGTAAAAGTATCAAATTAAGGTAAATATTTATCTTTAACCAGCCCCAAATGACTTGACATATATTGCTAAGGTCACTACCCTGAGTAACATCTAAAAGGTGTCTCTCGTTGTTTATTAAAAAGTTATTAACAAAAGAATTTCCATGAATTATATGCAATATGCGACTATACGAGTTCCTAAGCAATGTTGATTTCTAAGAAGGTCAAGGTTATTTTAACTTTCTATGAAAAGTGAAGTCTATTCTTCACCACTCCTGAGTCAGCGCGAAACGAGATCTATTATTGTACAATTCTACATGGGTTTGCAACTTTCCTTATAAAGCGAGGAACCATAGATGTTGTTTCGTTCTGATTCAGGGATAGTGCAGGATGGACTTCGTTTCGCATGGAAAGTTAAAAATCTATGTGGAACCTAAAATTTGGTTTGGGGTATGCACCTTTGCATAGAAAGATTTTTTGTATTGTTATTCTCAATTTTAATCGACATATATGCACAGTAAAAAATAAAATATTAATTATAACATTTTTCACATGTCCCAAAAAGTTCACTCTAAATTTTAATATAACTTATTCGTCGTATGTTACAAACTAAATCGACAAATTAAAAATGTTAAATAATTGATAAAACAATACTTTACATTTATTTTTGTTATTATGACATTAAGTAATGCAAAAACAGCATACAAATTAATTAAAAGTTACATGAAAACATAGTTACATTAACTCATAAGAAATGTTGGGGACATTAACATATAATAGAAATTATAAAAGGTCTATTATTGTATATGATGTCCAAAAATTCTGTGAACTTTATAAAAATTCTTTTATTTATAACTTTTTAATAAACAACAAGCGACGCATAAAACCTTTTGAATGTTACTCAAGGTAGTGATCTTGGCAATATATGTCAAATTATTTTGGACTGACTGTGTAAATATTTATCTTAATTAATAATAATGGTGTTTCTAATACTATATAATAAAATAATTATATTTTTCTCTTAATAACAGGTCTGCGAAATTAGAGCATTTGTCAGTTACAAAAAATAGAGTAGGTGAATCTGATGGATTTTGTGTACTGAAAACGAATCTGACCGTAGAATTTCCCCATATGTCAGGTTTTCGTGTCATGAATGGCACAAAAATCGCTATTTTGGTCCATTTTATGAATTTATTCTCAGTGAGAAAACCAAATGTTTTAAAATATTTCTGTCAATGGTATCGTATAATGTACTAACTTTCATCTTTCAAATTCGTTTTCGATTACCACCGCACGATTTTTTTCGCTCAGATATACATATTATAAGATCGGTCATAGGGATCCAATAAGCCATTCTAAATCAACTGTGCCATCTCACTACTCTCTATCTCACTACGAATCAAAATTAAGATAAAAAAACATACATTTTTAAATACCTTGTCATCTTTTAAAATTAAAAGTGGCGCATTTAATATGGCGTATAGAACCACAGTAAAAAGGCATAAAATTTAGAAAAACTTATTAACTCAAATTGTGTAACAACTGTATTAGATGTTATTTTTTTAGAATACTTTTTATGCAACCGAACTTGACATATGTCAGTCTTTTCAAATTTGAAGATGATGGATCTAGTATATTGATGTCTCTGTAAATTTTCTTTAAATTTTCTTAACTTCATACTTCTCAGCGAAAAAAAATTGTGTAGCGGTAATCGAAAGTGGATTTAAAAGGAGAAAATGAGTACTATACAATAGCAGAAATATTCCAAAAAATTTAGTTTCCCCACAATAAATTCATAAAATTGACCAAAATTGCGATTTTTGGGTCATTCAACTACAAATTATACAAAGTTTGACGTACAAGGAAATTCTGCGGTTAGATTCGTCTTCAGCGTCATAAAATTTAAATCAAATTCATCTACTCTGCTTTTTGTAACTGAACCTTGTAAACCTGTGTAATTTTAATTCTATTTTCATGTAAAAGTAAATGTTAAATTAGTGAAGAGAGAGAAATATGATTATTATTCGTGAAGTTTGTTTTAAAAGGAATTCTCTTAACTCATTTACAATTCGGATGTAATAATAAGATATAATTGACTTTAATTGTTTTTTCAATCATTTTGTTTTGAGAAAAAAAATTAAGTCCAAAATTTGTCGGATAATTTATTGTTAAAATTAGATTTATTAACTTCAGTGTTCGTCCGTGCATATACTTTTAATAATTGAAAATCTCCGAATGTAAAATGTTAGAATAATTTATTAATCGAATGTAATCTTACCTCATAACTGTCAGTTATGTTATGTCTTGACGCAAAAATAAACAAAACATATACGAATATGGCGACGATTTTCATAAAAATGGATAACGGATGAGTATTCCGGCCTTTTACCAACAAAATCAATAGACCACCAAGTATTAAATATATAACTAACATAACTATTATCATAAGAAAAGCGTCATGAACGTTCCGAAGCTACTGAAACAAATTGTTCCCATCTTTGTAATATTATTATATTTGTATCATAGAAATATATTTAATATTATTGTATAAAAAATTAATAACTTTTTAAATAAATTATTATAATATTATTATAAGTAAAATCATCAAACATTAAAATTATAGAACACCGTACAAATTATTTTATCATTTTACTTTATAAAATATTCTTATTTATTTTGTAATTTATTTATTGAATTGTTATAATTACATCTAAATAAATAAATAAATAAATAATAATAAATAAATAATCATAAATTATCAATAAATAATCATAAATCATCAATAAATAAATAAATAAATAATCATAAATTATTCCGTTTCAGTTTTAAATTCTTTTGACTTTATCATCGAGCCGACCAATTTATTCACACTTAATTATTATAGGCAGTTTGCCCATCAAAATATGCCAAATATTTAAAACCTTTATTTAAAAATATGAAAAAAATTACAAACTGATCGTACATATAAATAATATAATATAAGTTCTGCTATTAAGCTTTATTATTGTGGCATATTCTTATATATTTTGACTTAATGATTTTATTGCTTTTTTAAATTTAATATCTCTTTATTATTCTGTGAAAACATGTTTCTTAAGTTGTAAAATCTATATATTAAAATAGAAAGCGTTTTTTATTTCTTTAAAACATTAGTTTGCTTTTTTCTATAAATTTTTGACGATTATTAGATCTTTTATGACCTCACATTTGATACTGTTTGGCGCTGTCTTCGTAATGGATATTTAGCGAAACAAGATGGGCAATAATTTATGTTTTGAGTATTTGCCATTTCCTCCATACAATGAACGTGTATAACTGTATTTGTTTGACGAACTTCTCTACACTCACATAGGCATAAGAGTTTTTTTTTTTTCCGCATCTATCATAAACAGATTTATATACATAATACATTTTTTAAATAATAATGTTGAATTTATATAATATATATCCACAATTTTTTTAGTAAATCAATTATATAGATACATAGATATATAGATTAATTATATAGATAAATTATATAGATACTTTTGTGTGTGTTTGTGTGTGTATGTGTGTATGTATGTGTGTATGTGTAACGCATAAAAAAGTTTATAATACAAAATACATAACGCTGATTTAAAAAATTTTTTTTCTGCAAGTATCTTTGTAAAGAAAATTTATTAAACTCTGATTATTTCATAAAAATAAAACTGCGTACCTTCATGACAACGCCAACATGATGGCGAGACCTGAATTTCCTCCGGTCTTGGTACACTTTCCAAGGGAGCTATTTCAATAATTTCATCCATTTTCAATTGTATTATTAATTTATTGAGCAATATAAACACTGTTATGTAAGCTTTTGTTATAATAACGGATTAATATCTAAGAGATTTATTAATTTAATTCTCCACAATGTCACTGTATGGTTAATCTCTTGATACTACTAACTTTAATACTGTTCTGATGATTTATTTACATTTATTCTTCTGACAACAACTTGCTGAAAATATTTAGGATCTTGAGACTTTAAGATTTGAACGAAAGACAGCGAGAGCGGGAGAGAGAGAGAGTGAGAGAGAGGGGGGGGGATGAAAAAAGAGAGAGAGAGTATTTATATTTTCAACTAATATATCATGCTTAATGCACAATTATAATACGTTCTATTCTATATAATAATTACAATTATCTGTGTGCAATATGTATATATTCTTAATTTGCATTTCTCGATTTGATCAAAAGTTTAATTTATCGATGAGCAATTGCAAAATGTTTTTTGGCTCATTTAGTAGACTTTGAATTATAAAATCGAATTGTGATCTAATGATAGCTTATGATGATATGTGGATTCGCTTGCCGAATTGGATAACTATTACAACTCTTCTTATTTCTAAAACCGTTCCTATGCTTAACTTCAAACTTTCTCCAAAGAAATACATCATTATTAGATATTATTTTGATCACAATTTGATTCGATCCGTGAGGTCCATCAAAGGAGCGAAACTTGCTCTTTATATTTTCTTTATATTATAATCTACATCCGTTCCGCTTCTACAATGATTTTTAGCGATATTGATGTTTCTTCAATAGGATAAATTTTTTTCGAACATCAAAAATATATAAGATGTTCGGGATGATTTCCTTGATGATTTTCTTGAGACGATTCGAGCATATTGTGTACAACATTATGTGTATTATCTTTATAGAATAAAATTTTAAATAGAATAAAATAAATATTGAATGAAATATTCCTTATTAGCTTGAAATGCCTCTTATTAGGTTAAAACCATTGTGTCGCAATAGTAATCTGTTCGAAAAGCTACATGTTTGTGGTTTTTTAAATCTTTACAACTTTTCTTTCATCACATATTGCTTTAGCTTTGAAAGAAACATTTTCATATTACAGTATCTTTCTATTAAATCATAAATTATTTTGAAATCTAATAATATTTTGAAATAAATTTTTTTGAATATCTCATAAATTATTTTGAAATCTAATAATATTTTGAAATAAATTTTTTTGAAAAATTTACAATTAAATTTTTTTGTTTTTTTATTTTATGTTATTTCAAATGTTCAATTTCAATGATTAATTTTTAATGAATAAATTTTTGAATTTAAAGGTTAAGCAGACATAATTAGCTTATTATTAATTTAAACAGAAATCGTATATTAGAGGCGATTATATAAAAAATCAATAGCATTATTAATAAGATAGTCATTAATATTCTCATAATTGGACTGCTTAAAATTTAACTTCCATTTATAAACTGGGGAAAGGAAAATAATTTCACTAATATCGAGAGATATTCAAATCACCCAATTTGTGTGTGATAATAATTGTAATACATAAAGTACTAAATATCCTGAGATATTACAAAAAAGATCTAATGTATAACTGTTTACATTAACAATGTTATTATACCAATAAAAATTAAAATAATGCAAGTTCACATTTGCCTGTTCATTCATATGGTATTAACTACAAGTATTACAGATAATTATAATTATTATGCTAATATGTATAAAGCAAGTTATAATTTCCGATTATTAATTTATCAGCATTAACTCACATTGTCATCATTTCTTCAACACAGAGGCAATGTGAATTATAAACAGAAGAATCCGAGTTTAAGAAGCAAAAGTCAATAACATGTTTATGATTTAATCGTATCTAGACAAAAATATATTCAATACATGTTACAGTTACATTTAAAGCGAAAAAAAAATTGTTATGAATTGTTAGAAATTGTTATGAATTGTTACAAATTGCTATCAATACGTCACTTCCGTGTAAATAATCGTTATTTACAATATTTCTACCCAAACGGAATACATTGTATTTATCGAAATTTAACTCCACATCTACAAGCTTATTGTTTATTTCAACTAAATTAATCGTCAAACTATTTCGAGATCAAGAATAAATTACGGCGCTATTCGTTATAATTTAAATATTAATTCACGTTTACATTCTGATAATACAGGAAAGCGAGTCGGTTTTTTTGGAGTCATAATTGACAATCAGTCAGTTTTTCTGGAGTCATAATTGACAATCTTAGACACATCGTTTTTGTAACAAATAATCTTGTTTGTGTCACCAAAAAATGTTCACGCGTATCTTTGTAATCGAGTCCTTACGCGTGATTTTGTAATGATAATGCAACATAGGATTTAGGATATTCGTGATATAATGCCGTGACTTGACCGTGTTCGCTATATTTTTAATAACGTTGCGAGATGTCATTCTTCCAAACCTTTGATGGTTATATAAATATTTTATTGTGGATTAGAATATTATATTGCAATTGAAAGGGGCTAATTTAAAGATAAACTAATCATTTTTCTTTTATATGTTATTTTCATACAACTGTAGAAAAAAAGAGAAGCTTATCGCTTATAGGAGATATACATATAATAGCTACTTGCCTAACATTAAACAATTTTTATTAAAAAAATTAAAAATTAGTTTGTGTTATATTAGAAATCTTTGTTTGTGCTATATTAGAATCTTTATAAAATAAAGGAAGAGGAAAAAGATCTTTTTTTCTCTCTCTTGTACTTTGCAGAACATATATGACTATAGGGATTTTTAAGTGCAAAGAGAAACTTGTATTTTATTATTTTATATAATAAAATAATAAAATACAAGTTTCTCTTTGCACTTAAAAATCCTTATAGTTATATATCAAAAGCTATTTAAGAATAGACAAGATTAGAGGAAATCTGTTAACGATAGTGTAGTCATATTAAAGGCAAAAATGAAGTGTTCCATTTAAAAAAAAATCTAAAAGAATAATATGTTTCAAAGTGGACTGAATATTTAGAATTATATCCATTATAATATGTATGAAAAGTATCAAAGTAATTGATGGTATTATCTTTTCGCAAGTTTTAACAAGTTATATGCAATTATAAAATATGGAAAAAAGATGAGCGTAATCAAAACTTGTATATTTAAATTAACGCGTTCGTTATTTCAATACAAAATCTTCTTAATAAGTATATACAAAAGTATATACAAAATTTTCTTAAAAAAATTTAATAATCCTAAATTTTCATTGAAAATCTCTACGTAGACCAAGGTTTAAAAATAAGGTTTTCATTCCATACGTATTAGTTTTGGTGTCACTTGCTGCAAAAAGTTTGAAGGACAAAGGTAGAGTATTGCGTACAAATCTTTTGGGGCTCAAGGATGATATATCTGTAGCTATGTCAATCAAGAAATGGAGATTAGAATTTTTGTCTGTTACGATAAGACGATGGGAGGTGGAAATATTGTTAGCTACCTCAATTTTCAACGGTTTAGCTAATTTTTCTGTTTATCTATAAGGGCTTCGGACAGTGTAAAGTATGATACATTTCCTTGCTTTTTCGCTAAATTTCTTATGATAAAAAGTTGGCACTTCGTTTTCATCATTTTTGTCAGATTTTTTTCTGGAAGACGATCTAAACCTTCCTCTTAATATGTTCCTAAATCTAGGCTTATCTGGAGAGCGGTTAACTTCAAGTGTTGCGACTCGTTTTAAATTGCTTCTATGTTCTGCAAGATTTGAAGCTCTGGAGAAACAATAGCAACCTGAAGTTTGGTCCTTTACTATTTTGTCGGCTAACTCTGCCAGCTTAATTAATGAAGAATTCGACTACGGCTAGAGTCGCTTGTACTCTAAAAGTAATCTTTGTAAAATTGAATATAGAACAGATTTCTTATCGTTTAATTCTATACCGGCTAATAATTAACGGAGCGTTTTTTCTTCATAATCAATAAATCCATTTATTAAAAAGTTTTTTAAATGAATGTATTTATCTTTTTTAGTTTTTTCAATTTTTTCGATTATTTCAGAAATTGTTACAGGAGCCTGTTCGTCGAAATGCCATATGATCGAACTATATTTTACGTCATTTGAGCGGATGCTGTAGACCAAAAATTCGCTCTCTAATTTTAGGGTAAACCAAAGTTTCGGCTACTTATGCCAGAAGGCCGACAATTTACGAGACAAAACTCATTTAAATTAATTTCTCTTGGCTCATCTAAATGAAGATTTTCATCACCAGTAAGAAAAAGTAATTTTTTTTTCGTTTAAAAATCGTTGTTCCTGTTTATTCTCAGGAACTGGATTTGCTGTTCTAGGAGTCAATGGTCGTTGCCGCGGATAGATTTTATCGCTCGTTGACCAAAAAGGGCATAAAGACACGTCCGACCTCCTCCCACATACATTTTTATCTTTACGGGACCGAATGATGGTTGTTGAGAATGCAATCTATGAAAATAAAAATTGAAGATATATATCACAGAATGTCTATTTCGAATCTTATAAAAAATTTGCTGAACAGTCTCTCTCTGATCTTTTAGATATAACATAATTTAGATATAACATAATTAATATAATATAAGAAATAAAACAAAATAAAAAGTGAATGCGTAATAAAAATATGCATAATTATACTCATTAAAGGAAGTATAGAATTCGTCGCTTGCTCATATGTATTATAGACTACCTATTCTATGAATATATTTCCACAGAGTTGTTTTATAAATTCCAAAATTATTTCCGATTATGCGATATTCACAGCAGCTAGATAAGAAGTATAGACAAATAGCAACTTGCTTTTCCACTGATACTGGTTCTCAGGTTCCTATCTGATTTAAATTTGGAGCAAGTTTTTCTCGTAATTGATCAGATAACCATAGAAAAGTTGTTTTGTCATTCGAAATGTTTCTAACTAGTCATTCTCCTTAAAGTGATCGTTAACAATTCGATCCCACCAATTAGTACTTCGTTTTTCCATTCATATTTTCCTTTCTCGTGAAAATTGTAATATAGGTTCGAAATAAAGCAAATAATTTGGTAATGTGGAATTTAATAAGTGTTGTAATATAATTTCTTTCAGACGTCTTTGTCGTTTAATTAAAATATTTCGGATGTGTACATTGCATAATCATGTTTTCTATAATTTTCAAGTATACGGCAACAAACATGTGAGCAATTTCAATGTCCTTTTTCATATTGTTTGAGGGGGCTTGTGCCGTAGCGTATGTGTACGCCTATTTTCTTTTCCTGGGAATATATTCTGAAGAATAGTACACCCGAATATTACAGTACTCGATATTTATTCATAACTCTGCACAGCATACAAAACATGACTGACTTGTATAAAGGAACACACACTAGTACTACTAAACGAACGCCTGAGGCGCTCAAGGCGTGAGGCAAAACGAGGCGCGCGAAGCGCATGACGGGCACGCGAAGTACACGAAAAGGACATGTGAAGGATACGTGATGTGCAGGGGCGCAAGCTCAGTGTCGCCAAGGAGTACTCGCAGCTCGCGCATGGTCAAGAACGCAAAAAAAACGCAAAAAGAAACACTGATATAAAGAAACATGCGTAGCGTGTACAAACCGTCGCCTTTGAAAGCCTTCGCTTTCAACGTAACGACATATAGAAAGGTTTTTTTTATATATATAACGCAATACAAAATTTGCAGATAATGTAATTGGCATGATAGAATAACTTATAACTAAAATTGTAAGCTTGAAACTAGTTATAATAACTTCAAGCTAAATACGCACGCGGAATAAAATATAAAAACTTAAAATTAGAATTAAATCTCAAATGGAAGAGAACACAAACGTGTTATAGGGCGCTTATAGATGCCTTTAGCTGTGCGTACGGTGACGGTTCGAATAAGATTGTCATCACCGGGATGTACCTCTATTATTTTAGCAAGAGGCCAGGTTAACGGCGAGTTATTATCCTCTTTTAGGAGGACCATCTGTCCGACGTGCATTGGTTTCCCTTTAATTATCCATTTATTTCGTTGTTGACAGTGATGTAGATATTCACGAGTCCATCTTTGCCAAAAATGTTGTCGTATTTGTTCGACATGTTGCCAGCGTGACAAGCGATTTATTGGCAGTTTTTCTATCGATGGTTCAGGATATGAAGTTAACGGACTTCCTATCAAAAAATGTCCTAGAGTTAATGATGTAAGATCTGATGGATCAGAGGACATAGGTGTAAGTGGTCGAGAATTTAAAATTGCTTCAACTTGGATGAGCAGAGTTTCTAATTCTTCATATCTTAAATGGGCTTCCTTGGTTACTCGAATGAGATGACGCTTGGCTCCCTTAACAGCAGCTTCCCAAAGCCCACCATGATGAGGTGCTCTAGGCGGTATGCAATGCCAATTGATCCCTTTGATAGCCATATAATCGCTAATTTGTTGTTGATCCCTTTGCTCGTTAAACAATGCCGCCAATTCACTTAACTCTCGTTTGGCACCTATGAAATTTAGGCCATTATCAGAGTAAATGTCCGAAGGGTATCCTCTTCTGGAAATAAAACTGGCTTTAAAACATTGAGAAAAGCTTCAGTGGATAAGTCAACCGCTAATTCAATGTGAACAGCCGTTGTTGCAAAACAAACGAAAATTGCCATGTAACATTTCAATAGTTTAGCTGTCTTTCTTGATCCGTCTTTATAATAAAAAGGACCAGCGTAATCTACTCCACATTTTTCGAAAACTCGTTTAGGAACTGTGATTCTGTCCCTGGGAAGATTTCCCATGAGCGTTGAAGACGTTTTTGGAGAACTTCGAAAGCAAGTGATACACTTGCGTGTAATTTGTCGTACTACATCTCTGGCAGAGACAAGCCAGTAGCTTTGACGAACAGCAGACAAAGTGGCTTGCGGGCCTGCATGAAAATGTCTTTCATGCTCGTGAATTATAATGAGACGTGAGAATGGATGATGTCCTGGCAGTAATGCTGGATATTTGGCAGTGTATGGAAGGTAAGATAGCTTGAGCCGACCTCCGACTCGTAAAACTCCAGATTCGTCTACAAATGGATTTAGACGTATAATAGGACTACTCTTGTTCAAATCTTGTTGTTTTATGAGTAGTTCCAATTCCTTGGGAAAGTGTAATCTCTGGACCAATTTCACCAAAACTTGAGTAGCATGATTTATCTCATCGGGCGAAACACTGTTATCCGCACCAGGTTGTAGCGGATAACTTCTCGAAGGTTTGATCTTCCTCATTAAGTTGTTAAAAAATCGAAAGATGTACGCTACCACGCGAGTCAGCTTCAAGAAATTTGAGTATCGTTCAAATATGTCGAAAGGTTGTTTCGTTGCGATCGTGGTGATGGCAGTAGCCTTATATTCAGGAATCTCCTGTTTGTTTATGACAAAAGGAAATTGAGGCCAGCTCCCTTTATTGAGATTTAGCCATGTAGGCCCTGACCACCAAAGTTGCGATTGAAGTAGCGATGTTGGAGTCACACCCCTTGAATAAAGATCTGCTGGATTGTCTTGACTGCTGACATGATGCCAGTGATGTGGAGTAGTTAATTGCTGGATCTCACCAACGCGATTAGCAACAAAAGTAGTCCAAGTTCGACTACATGATTGCAGCCAAGCTAATACTATAGTAGAGTCGGTCCATAAGTAAACCGAATCTATTTTGACAGTCAGGCATTTCAGTACCTTGTCGATGAGTTGTGCCAATAATAGTGCTGCGCATAATTCAAGCCGTGGAATAGATAAAGCCTTCAAGGGCGCTACTCGACCTTTCGAACAAAGTAATCTAGTAGAGTGTTTTCCATTGGCATCAGTGACACGCACATACACACATGCTCCATAAGCAATCTCGCTAGCATCCGCGAAACCATGTATTTCTAGCTTGACATAGTCATCCAATTCAATGACTCTTCGTGGTATAAATATATTTCTTAACATTGGTAACTCAGCTTCATAACGTTTCCATTTAGTATTCACATCTAAGGGCAAAGATTCATCCCAGTCAATCTTGAGGCGCCAAAGATCTTGCATAATGATTTTAGCGATGACTGTAGTAGGTCCAAGTAGCCCTAGAGGGTCAAAGATTAATGCAATTCTTGACAATATAGCTCTTTTAGATGGTGTCGACAATGGCGGCAAAGATGCGATATTTGAGAATTTGAAATGGTCTGTCTTACAGTTCCAAACGAGACCTAATGTCCGCGTCTCGTCTTCTTTATCGCACGATAAAACAAATTCCTTTTGAGAATCTAGAAATTGATTGTCTCGAAGGGAGGGTTCATTAGAGGTCCACTTTCGCAATTTAAATCCTCCTTCTATTAGTAATTTAGACGTCTCTGACTTAATAACTAACGCTTCTTGTAATGTGTTTGCATCAGTTACCAAATCGTCCACGTAAAAATCTCTTAAAGCGACTTTGGATCCCTTTGGGTATGCGATGGCATTGTCTTCGGCGAGTTTCCTAAGACATCGAATGGCTAAAAATGATGCGGCAGCGGTGCCATATGTAAGAGTGAGAAGCTCAAAAGTTCGAATTGGTTCGTTCATAGAGTCACGCCACAAAATGCGTTGAAGAGAGGTTTGATTGGGATCTACCAAAACTTGTCTGTATATTTTGGTGACGTCGGCAGTTAAGGCGCACTTGAAAGTGCGAAATCTTGTTAATATTGAGAATAGATCGTCCTGAATCGTAGGACCAACCATCATTGTATCATTTAATGAAATTCCGCTTGAAGATTTGCAGGAACCATCAAAAACAACTCTCAATTTAGTCGTGGTGCTCGTCTCTTTGTATACCGCGTGATGTGGTAAATAATAATTCTTGTGGGTTGATTCCAAATGAGAAGTAACTTCACGCATGTGGCCAAGCTGTAGATACTCTTGGATGAATAGCTTATATTCCACATGTAATTTCGGTGATTTTTTAAGACGGTTTTCAAGAGCCTTAAAACTTTTGTGGCTATTTCTTGGGAATCTCCAAGATTCACTAATTTATCTACTTTGATTGGTAGCTGAACTATGAATCGCCCTTCGTTATTACGCCTTACGGTATCCTGAAATAGACGTTCACAGGCTTGTTCTTCTGGCGTAAGGGACGTAGATGACCCTAAATGATCAATTTCCCAAAAGCGGCTGAGCGCACGATTTAGATCTGTTGTTACAGCTAAACAATTAGAAGCTGAAGAGCTCGAGCTTGAAATATTGCTCGGAGTCGGACCAGATATAATCCATCCTAAAAGAGTTTTTTGTAGAATTGGCTGAGTTCTGGAAGATTTAATCTGACCTGCGCAAATAAGTTTCCAAAATAACTCTGCACCAATCAACATATCGATATTAGACGGTATGTTAAAATTAGGATCGGCTAATTTTATGTGTTTAGGTATCGCTATGTCTTGTTTGAATACAAGTGCTTGAGGCAATTGCTGAGTAATCTGCGGCAAAATTATACATTCTACCTTTTCGTTAAAGTTATTAAAACGTGACTGTATATGTACATTGATCATTTTTTTAGCTTGAATAGTTCCCTTCACTACTCCGGTAATAGCAATCTCGACGCATTGTTCCTTAATACGCAACTTATCAGCAAATTCTTGTGTTATAAAATTCATCTGAGATCCGCTATCTAATAACACGCGACAAGAATGTCTATCATTTTTATAATCGAATACATGTACGATAGCTGTAGATAGTATGATGCCCAACGAGTGATGTGCTGCTACGCATTGTGTAACAATTGGCTGAGTAGACGCCTTGCTTTGAGAAGTCGATTTGTTGGACGCCACATCATCAATAGAAACCTTGTTATCATTCACAGCATTCGGTAAATGTAACAATGTGTTGTGTTTTTTACTGCATTTACGACAAGCACCTGAATTGCAATCCTTAGCAAGATGTGAGTTAGTTCTTAAACAATTAATGCATAAATGAGCCTTCCTTACGACTGAAATTCTTTTTTCTATTGGTAGCTTAAGAAACGTTTCACAATAATATAAATAATGACCTTCTTTGCATTGTGGACAAGATACATTAGATGTAGCAAGATTTGAGACGGAAGGCCCTTTGGACTTAATGGATTTTGAATTATTGGTGGATTGATTAGTTGACAGTTTGCTAAAAATTGTTTCAAGCGCTTGACAACGCTTGGAAAGAAAATCAATTAGTGACTTCAAATTTGGAACGTCTTTGTCGGGCAAACTAGTTTCCCAAGCCTTACTCGTTGCTGGATCAAGTTTTGAGACGACAATATGAATGATTAAATCATCCCACGATTCTGTGGGTCTTTTCAAGGCTTTAAGCGCACGTAAATGTTTTAAGATAGCATCTAGTAACTCGCGTAAACGACTGTGATTTTCTTTGATGAGTATCGGAGCGTCGAATATAGCTTGTACATGCTTATGGATTATCCAACGCTTATTATCAAACCGTTCCTTAACCGACGCCCATGCGTCATTGTAGTTGTCAGTGATGGTCTCAATGGATTTTCTAATTTCAGCTGCTTTATCCTTGAGTGAGGAGCGTAGATAATGGAATTTTTCAATCTCCGAGAGACCTTCATTGGCATATATTAGTTTTTCAAATACATCCTGATATGAATACCAATCATCATAGGAACCTGTGAACACTGGAAGCTCGATTTTTGGCAATTTAATACGCGATTCCCTATGTGTAGAGGCGTGATCACCTTGCGAACCATCCACATGTGATGTGGACGGTTGGGGATTATTTTTATCGAAATGTTCGATGAGTGAATCACAACGCGAAATCATATTAAAATATGTGAATTCGAAATGTGTTCTTTGCTGTTCTTGTTGAACGAGCAGCTCTTCCTTATTTTTGTTTGAAGAATCTGCATATTCGAGCATTTCTATTCACGATTGCACGATTTCAAAATTATCCCATAATTCTGTCAATCTTCTTTTACGCTCATTAATATCGTGTCGTGAATTTTGATCTACGTCAAAACTATCTATAGCATTTTTATGTCGCGTTAAAGTTGCCTTAATGGTAGTTCGCTTGACTTTAGCTTCCGATAATGACATTAAATCCATGCTTATTAAATTCGCGTAACGATAGTTCGATATTCACAAAAAATGCAATATGGCTGCTTAACTAGTGAGAATGGATAAAAGAAGAAAATGAATGTGGAGATCCTACCTGAGGTAAATATTATGTCCACGCATACACAGCATTCGTCTCTTAGATAGAAAAACGAATGTGGAGATCGTACCTGAAGTAAAATATTATGTCCACGCATATACAGCATTCGTCTCTTAGATAGAAAAACGATCACCACGGACGGTAATCCGTGACTTTCGGAATTTTATGTATCCGGCTCGAAGGACCAAATGTTTGAGGGGGCTTGTGCCGTAGCGTATGTGTACGCCTATTTTCTTTTCCTGGGAATATATTCTGAAGAATAGTACACCCGAATGTTACAGTACTCGATATTTATTCATAACTCTGCACAGCATACAAAACATGACGGCCTTGTACAAAAGAACACACACTAGAACTACAATACTAAACGAACGCCTGAGGCGCTCAAGGCGTGAGGCAAAACGAGGCGCGCGAAGCGCATGACGGGCACGCGAAGTACACGAGAAGGACATGTGAAGGATACGTGATGTGCAGGGGCGCAAGCTCAGTGTCGCCAAGGAGTACTCGCAGCTCGCGTATGGTCAAGAACGCAAAAAAAACGCAAAAAGAAACACTGATATAAAGAAACATGCGTAGCGTGTACACATATTCTTTCCGCTTCAAAATTGAAATAATCTAAAATTTTAATTTCATGTGTTAATTATATATTACATTTTAGTTAAATAAATATCTAATAATTTTAAAATTTATATTGTAATCTACCTAAAAATTCACTTTGTTTGTTGACTCACTTACACATCACATGACTTCTTTCACATCACAATCCCACTATAAATAAGCATCTAATTTTTCGTCATTTTATATTGATACTACTACTGGAAATCTTGGACTCACTTTATTCAAAAGTTACTAACAATAAGTTATTTTAGCTTGGTGGGGATAGGATAAGCTTGAACGTATAAACGCAACTCACTTTAAATAGGAGTTACAACATCAGAGTTATTAAATCGAAGTTAGTAGCCGTATAAACGTAATCTATGATGCTAATAAATATATTGTAATTAATATTGAATCTTATCGTAATAATTGTACAAGTATGCTTTTTTTTATTTTGAATTATAATAATTAATAATATCGTAAGATAATATAATATAATAATATAATAATAATATGATAATATGATAATTTCAATAGAAAGGTTTATTTATGAAATTTTCTAGCTTATAAATTATTTTAACCAAATATTCATTTATCGGAAAATTTATAAAATACAAGTTTTTTAATTACAATATTTTTATTTTTATATTTTATATTCTTTCAAATGTACAATTTCAATTTTAATTTTTAAATTAATTTTTAAATTTAAACATAAGTAGCTTATTATTAATTTAAGAAATTGCATAATTGAAACAATTAAATAAAAAATCAACAGCATTATTAATAAGATAGTCATTAATGTTTTCATAATTGAACTTCTTATAATTTAACTTCCATTTGTAAATTGGGGTTCAGGGAAATAATTTCACTGATATTGGAAAATATTCAAATCGCTGAATATATATGTCATATTAATCGTAACACATAAAAACTCTAATATTGAAAATTCTGAAATATTGTAAGGAAACTATATTTAATGTATAATAGTTTACATTAACAATGTTATTATACCGACAAAAATTAAGTTCATTAAAATAATGCAAGATCACATTTGCTTGTTCATTCATATGGCAGTAATGACAAGTACAAATAATAATAATTATTACGCCAATACGTGTAAAGCAAATTGTAATTTTCGATTATTAATTTTAAGGATTCCGAAATCGAAAAGCGAGTGTCAATAACTACGTGTTTATGATTTAGTTGTATGGCAAAAGTTATGTAACGAATGTTACAGTTACATTCAAAGCGCGATAAAATAAATTATTATAAATTGCTATATCGTGTCCATGCAAATAATCGTTATTTACAATGTTTCTATCCAATATAATGTAATTATCGAAACCTAGCTCTGTAATGCTTTGTTTAACAATGTTTCAACTAAAATAATGATGTCAAACTATTTAGAGATCAAACATAAATTACAGCGCAATAATTTAGAACTTAATACACCCACATTCTGATAATACATTAAAAGGAAGCGATTCAGTTTTTGGCCTAGATCAAAATTGATCTCTACAATTTTAAATGTTTCTGTAACGATTAGTCTTGCTTGTCCGGCCAAAAAATTTTTACGCGTAACTTTAAATCCATTCCTTATAATTTTGTGATGATGAAACGATTCGTGATATGATGTTCAATTATGTTTATTCACTACATTTTTAATCTTTAACGTTTATCTCGAGATACTTTTCTTAAATTTTGTCAGTTTTACAAATATTTTGTCTGATTGTGAATAAGAATATTAATATAATAATAACATTATAAATTTTACTATTATCACAATAAATCTCTCTCTCTCTTGACTTATAAATATTAATTACTAAATTTAGTGTAGTGACTTTATTAACATGCAAACAATTTTTAATCGTGTTCCTTATATTTATAACTTCATATTTTTATTTGTTGATTTATTATACATACTCTATAGATAAAAAAATGATAATTTTAATTCTATAAATGGAAACAAATAGCGACAAATTAATACATTTATTTATTTCACACACACATACTAGCATTTGATAAAACATATCTGCATAATGCAAATAGAAACATTTAAGCTATGTTTATTGAATAATTACGTGTCTAGAAAATAAAAATTAACTACAAAAATAAAAAGATAAGCGATTTATATATTTATTTTTATTACAAAATTATATTTATTGTAATTACATTAAGAAAATATTACATCATTAATGCATTATAATATAAAGAAGGAATTTCTTTACTATTTTATTTAATATTTTATTAGTATAGGTTTAATTAATAAAATAAATAATAATATGTAAATGCGCAAAATCTATATTTATAAAATTTATATAAAAAATTTATATGAAAGATTTTTTTTGTGTCCATCATCAATGAAATTTTATAAATTATTCTTATGTAAGATGAATCGCATTGATATTTCAAAGAATATGAAATTAACACAATTTGCCCTTATTAATAACTTTATAATTAATACTAGACACTCTCTAATAAGTTACTGGCCATCAGAGAGCCACTTTTTATTGGTCCGCCATTTTTAGGCAACTCCCGCTCATATTCAAATTGTAATTATTATGATAATGAATATTGTATATATAGATAATATAAGCAATATTATATATATATATATGTATATGTATATATATATATATATATATATATATATATATATATAATATATATAATATTGAATATATATAATATTGAAAAATTATTTTGACATATATTATTTAGGAAAATTTTTTTTTATTTTTATAGTAATATAAATATAAAAATAAAACTAATTTAAAAAATTTTTTAAAATAATATATGTCAAAATAATTTTTCATACTATTTTATATTTTTCATATTATTGACGAATTGTTACAAAGTTCTGGTGTACATCATACTAATAGACACATCTGCAGAAACATACATTCGTGTAGATGTAAGTAAAAGTTTAGAGTCTCTGCATAGATCTATCTCTCTCGCAGGATTTTGCATAAACATAGACGAAACATATGTGTCTCAATGTGCTCGCTGTATCTGATAACTAGTTTCTTATTAGAGCGCGTATAATTTATACTATAAAATATATATAATATTATATATTATATTATATATTATTATTATATTTTATTATTATATCTATCCCTATTATTATATCTTTATATTATATTATAATATATTATATTGTATAACATGTATATATATTATAATATATTATATTGTATAACATGTATATAATGTAATATTATATAATATTATATCTTTGTAATATATATTATATATAATATGTACAAATAATATACATTATTTGAGCTACATTATAATCTTTATGTGTAGTATAATTTTGATTAATTGTGATGTAATCTTTTTATCCAAGAACAAGAAGTAATTTTGGTAAATGTTTACTTTACGTTACACAGCACGAAAAAATTATATTTTCAAATATGTTGTAGAGGATACATTTCTAAGTAATACACCGTTTAAATTTTGATGGTCTCTTTTCGTTTCTGGGATACGCACTTTCGAAGTTTTATACTTTTATGTCATTTCATTGTATTTTATTTATTTGTTTACATTTTTTGTTTACATTTGTTGGTTACGGTTTTATGTATTTGTATATAACTTTTTTTGTTTTGCAAAATACATATGTGAGTTCCGCTTTCCTTCGAGGGAGAACTCCACCTTCGGAAAATATAACCTAACCCAACCTGTGTCTGAAGTGTGAAATATACCTGGCATAGAAAATTACAAACTTATATAAATTCATGATATGAAGTAAAATATGTCATATGTCAAGATATTTTTCACACTTCAGACACATTGGGTTTGATTATATCTTCCGGAAGTGGAGTTTCTTCCACTGTAGAGATGTCCACGCATGTACTTTATAAGACAAAGCAAAGCTTACAAATACATATATTCTATTAAATATATTTCTTCTTAAACATACATGATATAAAATTATATTCTACTCATGAACCTTTTTTCGTCAACAACTATTTAATAGATAACAAACAGCTAAAATCTCTTTTTGAAAGTTATTCAGAAAGATGACCTTAGTAAATGTGAAAAATATAAACGTATTTAAAATATAACGAAAAGATGATAGTAAGTAAGTATAAAATTTCAAAAT